TATTTTGACTATTTAGAGAGAAAAGAGAAAATAAGAAATTCAACAACTAGAAGAATAGATAGAGAAGAATAGGAAATATACTATTTAATTCAGATATTGATAATTGGAATCAGGACACACCATAATTGATCAAAGAATAATGAACAAAGAACATATAATAATTATTATTGAAGATACAAATGGAATAGATTTGGAGGATATGTTAATGCGAAAATTGATAAAGTTGATAAATGGGTAGATGATTCAAATGCATTTGTTTTTTCATTAGAATCAAATGGGAGAACACAAGGAATGATGAAATTTGATATTAAAGATCCAAAATATGCATTTTGTTTATGGAGCCAATCAAATGATTGGTCATTTAATTTTGGATGTGGAGGTGGTGATGTTTATCTAAAGAAATTCTATAACAAACAAGACTCTCATTGTAAACAAAGTTCATATGAATATAAAGGAATATCAAATGCACTTTGTGGTTCAGATAATTTCACACCAAAGCGGTTCAATGTAATTGAAATGAAATGAAAATATTAATATGTTTATTTGAAATAAAAACAAAAAATAAAAAAGAGTGAATTGATAAAGTATTGAACAACACAATAATTAAATAAAGAGGAATTGAAAAACTATTTCTTTTTTTCAGAGGCTGGTGATACTAACTCTCTGAATATAGGCAAATCGCTTGTTTCTTTATCATTGTCTGGAGTGAGTGCATCAAATGGAGAAACGTGATTGAGTTGATGAGACAAATTGTAGTGGTGAGAAACAAACATCTCAGTTGTTGGAGACGATGACTGTGAGATATGACGTGCAGATGTAGGAGCAGGAAATAAAAAATCAAGTTGTTGAGGAGAAAGAGAGTTTGTGTAGGACTTTGATGTACGATGAACTGGTTCTGAGGGGATGTGTTTTTGTTTTGGAGATGTAATTTGAAGGTATGATTGGTTTTGAGATGTATGAGGAAGAAGAGTAGAGCTTTGACAATGTTTCTTTAACGTAGCTTTCTGTCTTCTATTTCTTTTTGATTCGATAGTTTCAGAGAATTCAACTATAATTAAATTACCACACCACTCTTTTCCATTTTCTTTATTAATTGCTTCAATTGCACTTTCCATTTGTTCATATTTAACAAAGGCAAACATTCCTTTAGAGTTTTCAATAGTAGTAACTTTCTCAATATTTCCATAAACACCAAATTTTTTGTCTGATCATATCTTCACTATCATTTTGTTGGTTGAGATTTGAAATGTAAATTGTCATTTTGTCAAGATCCCCTTCTTTGATTTGAGATGACTTAGCCCATTCAATTACCCAATTTCTTTTATGTGGATCATTTTTGTTTCTTTTAGGTGCCTCTTCAACACATAGTTTAGCATCCTCATGGGTCATGAACTTTACAAATCCACATCCTTTTGGTCTTTGTGTTTCTGTGTCAACCATCATTGAAATATCTTTCACAGGACCGAATTGTTCGCAGTACTGTTTCAATTCTTCTTTTTTAATACTTCCCATACGAGCAAAGAATAACGTAGTAGTACAATTTACTTTAATAGCTTTTTCTAATGATTCTTTGCTCATTGAACTTAGCTATATCTTTTTTTGAATTTATTTTACTTCTTTTTTTGTGAAAGAGAAGATATTATATTAAAATGGTTTAAATACTATATTCTTATCTTTTGATTTTTTTATTTTATGTTCTTTTTTTTTTAAAAAAGGGGATTTGAAGGTAGCACGTCAGAGACACCACACAGAACCCTAAAATATTTCCATCCTTCGATTCCCCCCAGTTATGGACTGGTTATGGCGTTGCGTTTGGTTAGAAAAACATCTTACCCGGTACTGCAAGAATAGCAGTGTTTATTATGTACAATGACAGAATATCATTGACAATAAACGAATGGGTATTTATAAAGATGTTATTATTACTTGTTAGAATACAAGTATTATTTGATAATATAAGAAAGATTATCAAAAGAAAAGGGTCAAGTGGATGAGGCTAAAAGAATATTAGCCCAAAGCAATACAGTAGTAATTATATATTCTCCTTAAAATAAGAAAATAAAGAAGAAGAAATTTAAACCCATCAAAATTAAAAAGAAATTAAATAATGAATATTTAAATAAGGGATGTTTAAATACTCTATTCCACATCAAAAATGAGAAAAGAAAATTCTCACCGTTCAACAACTAAAAGCAAAGAATAAGCCAATAGTTGAAGAACAAATACTTTTAAGCGAAGGGACGGGATTAGTAGTCTCCCCTGAGCAAGGAACAATAGACACAAGTTCTATTAATACTTAATTAACTACTTTTTATTTTTTTTTTAAAAAAGAAATGGAAATTTGATTGTCATCTGGACTTTAAAAATAAAATAATTACAGAGATTAAAACGTGTTATTATGAGATGAGTAGAATTTAGGTTTGTAGTAAATTCAATGAATAATAACATAACTAAAACGAAAAAAATTTCTCAGACCCGTCTTAAACCATCATACTTTATTCAGATATATGCTGATTTATTGATCATCACTGACAATGTATAAAATAGTTATGTAATTATTAATATTAATCATTTTATTCTAATTAAATTGTGGGTGATTATAAAAATAAAAAATTATTTAAAAGTTAATAAAAATAAAAAATAAAAAAATCTTAGTTTGTTTCATTTGTTATGAAAGGAAGTATATACACATTTAAAGTTCTTGTTATTGGAGAGTCTTCTGTTGGTAAAACTGCCATTATGGAACGGTTCTGTGAAAACCAATTTAAAGGTGATTATATGTCAACAATTGGAATGGATTTTAATACAAAAACAATTTCAGTCAATGGACAAAGTATTAAGTTAAAGATTTGGGATACTGGTTTGTAGTCATTCTATTAAACCTCATTACCTTTTGGTTTTTTTGAACTTTTAGTTTCTAAATAAAATCAACTGACCAAAAATAGCTGGACAAGAAAGATTTAGAAACGTGACAACAAGTTATTATAGAGGAACTCAAGGATGTTTAGTTGTGTATGATGTTTGTAACAAAGGGTCATTTGAAATGGTTTGTTCTTCTATTTGTTCATACACAGATTTGATAATTAATAAGAAAAAAGTGAGGATAATTTAAAACGAAAAGACGTACTAATAAGTTAGTTAGATTATTGGATAGAAGAATATAAGAGAGAACAACCAAATTCAGAAGTTGTTATTGTTGGAAATAAAATTGATTCAACTCAACGAGACGTTACTGATTCAATGAGTGAATCATATGCCCACTCAAGAAATCTAGTATCAATGACGTGTTCTGCTTTAAATGGTACAGGAGTAAAAGAAGCATTTGAAAAACTTGCGAGTCAAATTTTAGAAAATAAATTGTTAATGGAGAGTTTACCTGAAACAACAGAAACCAATTTGGATACAAAAGGAAAACAACAATCCACATGTTGTTAATTTACAATATATTTTATTTATTTTATACATATTTTATTAAAAGGTAATAATTAAGAATAATAAAACAAAAAATTAATAAGAATGAATTAAATCAATCATCATCATCTCCTTCATTTTCTTTAGTAGTTCTATGACCAGCATAAAGTTTAACTTTTTGGAATTCAGGAGGAGGTGTAAGGGATTTATAAAAATCAGCTAGTTGTTGTAATTTTGAACGATCAGTAAGTAAGAGAGAATTAATAAGTTGTTCTAATTTGTGAATATAATAGAAATTATGAAGAGAAAGTAATGTTGTTCCAGTTAGTTCATGACATAATAATAAATGGTGTATATATGCACGTGATTGATTTGATTTACAAGAGAAACACTCACAACCATTTACACAAATATCATTGACTACATCTTTATAACAGGTATTAAATAAATCTATAGAAGTAAAATTATTATTTTGATTGATTGATAAAGGAAAAACAAATGCTTGACCATGAAGAGTAAACTCATTAATAGAATTTGTCCAAATAGAAACATTCATTAAAGCAGCTTGAATAATTTGAGAAAGATTAAATGAATATAGTTTAACATACATTTTAATATTATTACATAAATCTTTTATTTTTTGAATAAAATTTAATATTTTATCTTTGTCTTCAATATATTCACAATCAAATACAATTTCATGAATTCCAGTTTGGATTATATCTTTGACATATTGGATATCATCTTCTAATCCAGTTAATCCAATAGATGCAATAATTTCAATTGTAAATCCTTTTTTTGTTTTTTCTTCAACCATTTCTTTTAATTTTTTTATAACAATTTGACGTTGTTGTTTCATCTTTTTACTTGTTTTTCTTTTCTCTAAAGGAGAATAACAAAATCCTTCAATTTTATCAAAACCACTTTGGCTTGAGAAATCTATAACTTGTGGAATAGTTAATTGTCTATATCCCCCTCTTGTTGTAATGTTAAATTCTGATTTAGTTAATTTATTACAACTGTCATCAATTTTTTCTGTTAATGACATACTGAGAATATGATGGCTTTGTTCTGGCATCATAAAATATTTTTTATATCCCTTTCCATATTTTAATATAAATTCTTGTGCTTCATATCTACAGATAAATACTTTAAACTCTTTTGTTATTTACTTTTTCTTTAACAAACAAATCTCTGTAACAAAATAAAAAGGTGTTAACTTCTTTTAAATATTTTTCATAATTATCAATTGTAACAAATGGAATACTCCCAACTTTTGTTGTTGAAATAATTTGAAATTGTGGTGTTGAAGTTGACATAAATCAAAAATAAATATTTTTTTTATAAAAATTAAAAAGGGTTTTTTTATTTTTAAAAATAACAAAAAATAACAAAAAATAACAAAAAATAATCTTATCTTCTCATTTCATCTTTTCATTTAAAATGAGTGAAATCTCATTCAAAATAACTTTTTGTTATTTTTTTTGATAACAACAAGTTAGAAATTAATTACTTTATCCAAAAATAATGAAAAAGCAACAAAATTTGTAAGGATATAAATTTAAATTAGTTTACCACTTAAACAAAAAAAATACCAATGATTCTTCCATTTGAATAAAAGATAATATAGTCATTTCTAGTATTTAAAGAATATTAAAATATTAAATATATAGTTACGTTGGATATTGTTCAAAAGAAATAAAATGAAAATTACAAAAGGAACAATTATTCATGCATATTTTTCCATTAAATGATTAATTTGGGATTGAAGAACTCTTTTACTATTTGCAGCAAATGTTTTTGATTTTAAAGCAGTTCTTTCTGCATTAATAATTTTTTGCATAAAGAATTGCCTTGCTTGAGGGCCATGAGCTAAAACAGGTAGAATAGGTTGAGTATGAGATGGAACTAAGAAAGGAGGAAATGGTTGAACACAATCTTTAGACACAACAGAAATTTTATATGAATTATTATTATTTGTAGTTATTGAAGGAGTAACAACTATATAAACATCTAATAGAATTAATTATATAATTAAAAATATAAAAACAAAATAAAAACAAACGTGTAAAATGTGAGGTCATTGTTTCTGGTTTAAATAAATCATCTTTATTAAGTTGTTCTTTAAATACTACAACCACAACATCATTTCCAACAAATCTTTTACGTTCTAGTGATTGTTCATCATTATTATTACAAGGTATTAATGGTGCAACATGAAACATACAATCATAGTTATCATATTGAGTAGCATAACTTTCTTTTCCTGTAACATTAGTGTGAGTATCTAATCCACCTGAATAATTTTGATATCCTTCAAGTGTTACTTTAGAAGCAATTAAATTCATAAATTTCCAGAATGCTTGTGATGGTTCATTATTTGCAAAAATTTCATTTTCTGAAGATTGTCCTGGACCAGCATAAACAACACCAAATCTATATTTTGATATAATAGCACTTTGATGAAAATGAAGTAAATCATCATCTACTTCAGTATGATTTGCTACTCTAGTAACTTGATTAGAATTGTGAAATACTTCTTCACATTTTAATGCTGAATCTTCAGAAATAATAATACACCTATAAATACCAGCTTCTGAACGAACAATAGTTCTCATATATTTACTATCTTTAATACATGAAACAATTTGATTATTTGTTTTATCAAAGTAATGTTTAACTGAATTATTTCTATAGAAGAAATGTTCATAATATGGAAAGTCTTCATCTACATTTAATATTGAAAAGTCATTTAAATTTGTTAAATGTGTAACAGATAATGGACCTGTTTCATAATTAAATCCTTGAACAATTTCTGCATTTGTTGGAGTTGAATGAAGATATTTTTCAGTTGGTGTAATAAGAGAACTCCATAAATCTGAAACAGAAGAAACAGGTGAAAATTCGAGAAAATCACACCACTGTGTAAAGTCAATAACTAAATGTTTACTTGGAGTAGCAATTGGAGGATTAGTAGGAATAACAGGTGGTGAAGAATATTCAAAAAGTGATAATAATATTTTTTTCATTAAATTTAATTCATCAGCACTAAAGTTTTGATGTTCTGGTGATGATCTTCGTGAAGTAGAACGAGAAAAAACTCTTGAAATAGAACCTCTTCTTGAATGTTTTCTTGACAATGAAGTACTTTCGCTTAATGTAGAAGAAATTGCTGCTTGTATTGCATTATAATTTGTTGGTTCTTGTGAAATTTCAGCAACTGATCTTCCTCTTTTTCTTTTTGGTTTTAGTGCAGGTTGAGTTGGAAGAATAAATACTGATGTATGTGACCCAGGAGTTTCTAGTGCAAATTCTGGCATTGTTAATGAACTTGATGTTGAACTTGATCGTGCCTTTCTTATTGGCACTCCAACAGACTCATCAAAAACAGGTGATAATGTAATGCTTTTACCCTGTGAATTTGAAGAACTTCCTTCTTCAATTGGAGAAATTGTTCCAGGAGTATTAGAGTGAACCAATGCTATAAAGAAGTAAGTATATTTATTTATTTTTTTTTAGTTGTTGAAAAGTTGTTGAAAACAAACTCACTGTATTCTTTTTCCCTCCACTTATTTTCCATTTTGATAAAGCTCCATCAACATCATCGGTCATTTCTTATAATTAAATGTTTTCTAGTTTTTTTGATAAGTTCATTTTTTCTATTTGGATAAAAAAAATTATTTTTGTGAAAAAAAATGGAAGTAACAGCAAATTATGTAATTTCTCTTTTTCATTGTTTTCTTGTTCTTTTTTCTACCCACAATTATTAATTTTTTTCTTTGTTTTCATTTCACTTTATTTCTCTTATACCAGTCTGTTCGGGATTGTCTTTCTTTATTGCCCAGTTTTAACCTCAAATTCCGAATTAGTTTAAAGGACTCAATAAAGAAATTTGGAAAAGGGCACTTAAAAATAAATCTAATTTCTATTTTTGGAAACTTAACTCATAATGAAATTTAATTCAAATTAAACCTTTATTTTTGTTATATAAGGCAAGAAAAATACCAAAAAATGATGGTTATTTAATTTTGAGATGCTTAAGAAAAAGGAGTGGATATTTCCTTTAAAAAAAAAAAAGAAAGAAAAAGGAAAAAAAAAAAGGATGATTTTTGAAGGAGAAAGGCAAAAGAAGAAAAAACAGAACTAAGAAGAATTGTGTTGAATGAACTTAGGGAAAACACCACGATACCTCTCTTTTGAAACTAATAAAAGTATTAATGAACATCAATCACATACACTGTTTATATCTAATATAAATTCAGAAGTAAGTAGTGAAGCTTATTATCAATTATTAGAATCGTTTGGGGAAATTGAAGCTATTAACTTTGAAAGAAAAAGTCAGGGATTCGTAATTGTAACATATTATGATATAAGAAATGCTAAAGTTGCCATAAAAATCTTACAAAAAACTGTTATTGGAAATCAAACTCTTGAAGTTCATTACACTATTTCTCGTGATAAAAACCAAATTAATCATGGGAGTATTGTTGTTTTTAATTTAGATGAAACTATTACAAATGCTTTAATTCACCAAATATTTTCACAATTTGGAGAAATTAAAGATATTAGACAAACTCCAAATAAAAAACATCATAGATTTATTGAATTTTTTGATTCACGTTCAGCAGAAAAAGCACTAAAAACAATGAATAAAACTGAGTTAAATGGAAAGAAATTAAAAATTGAATTTTCACGTCCTGGGGGAAGAGAGACTGGTTTTATTACAGAAGAATTAATAGAAAGATACAATAATGCTGAACGTCAAAGAGCTCAAAGTGATCCTTGTGTTTGTTTAGTTCATACAACTAAACAATATAATAATGGAGATGATCTTTTTACATTAAAACAACGACAACGAGCACAAACATCTATTCGTTTAAAACATACTAAATCTTCACTAGTTGAATTTCAAGAATACATAGATTGTGAAATACCTCAAGAAAATTCACTATTTTCTCGTACTCCTGAACAACTTCTTTCTGATAATACAATATATTCTGATACATATGATAATAATAGTGAAAATATTCGTCTGTAATTCTTTGTACTTTTTAATTTGAAATTTTATTCATTTAACTTCTTTTTAAGAAGATTTCTTTGTGTTATTTGGATTTATTAATAAAAAGTAAATTACATATTACTAATTTATATTATTTTATTTTTATCGATTATTATTATCCATATACTCATTTTCTTCAGCTAATCGTTTGTGAATATGTTCTTCTTCTTGTGACACATCTTCATTTTTTCTTTTTCGATGAATCTTTGCTTTAAATACAATTGGCTTTTTTTTTTCTTCAACAAATATTTCGTCCTCAAAAAAATCAACGTATTCAACACGAATAGCAGGAGATGATATCTCATCACTTAGAATATCAACCTCATCAAATTCTTCATTTCTTTTTTTCTTTTCATTTGATGGAGTAATTCCATACGCTTCCTCTATTTTTTCAACTTTTGTTAAGTCTGATAATGATTTTCTGAGATTCTTTATTAAGTCCTCTGTCCCATCATCATTCTCTCCACTTCGTGTTGGAGGTGTTGCAACTCTATCTTCTTCATGAAACTCAATAATCTCTTCTTTTTTTTTTGACATAGAATTATTTATTTTTTTTAGTTTAATTTTTTTAAGTTCTTCTTTTTTAAGTTATATATAACATTATTTATTTTTGTTATTATTAATTAGTTTTATATTTTTATGTTTTTTTGAACAAGATTTTTTCATTCTAAATTGGTAATTGGAAATATAATAAATCAAATTGAATTTCTGATTATCTTTTTAGTTAAAATTTAAATAAAAGTAAGGAAGGAGAAACTTTCGAAATAAAAGGAGAATTTAGAACTCGAAAAAAAGAATAGAAGAACTAAAAGAAAAAAGAGAAAAGATGACAACAAGTGAAAAAGCAGTTAATTTATCTGAGATTGAACGAAAGTTACAAGACATAAACATTTTTTCAGGAAGGGTATTTGATCCATTTAATTATGTTGATGATTTATTATCTGAACAATGTGATATTTCATTAGAACAAGGTATTGAAACATTCTCTATAGAACCATTGTTTTCAATTTTATCAATTGCTGAAAAGAAATTACAGAGCCAGTTTTCGTTATATGTATCATCGGTTAATTCACTTCAAGAAGAATGTATTGAAGAAGAAGAACGACATCTTGGAGTAATAAAAACAGCAAAAGACAGAATGAAAAAAGCAATAGAAGAATTTGAAGGAACAGAAAATGGATTAAATCAACTAAGTGAAGAAGTTATGCAATCAGGAGAAAGATTGTTAGACTTAAGAGAAGAAGTTACAAAAGATAAAGAAGTATTAGAAATGCTTCGAATGTTTGATAAAATGAGTAAAGATGAAGAGTTTAATGTTAAAAAATATGATGTTGAATATCCAGATATAGAATTTGTTATTAGAATACAAAAATTAAAACAATTATGTAGAGAATTAACAAATGAAAATGTCATTTGGGGAATTCAACATGTTGGAGAATATTATAATCATTTAAATGAAGAATTAACAAAGAAATTTAATAAAGGATTTGATGAAAAGAATTATTTAGAAATGAAAGATAATGCTGAATTATTATATTATTTAAATAGAGGAAATAATAGTATTAATTATTATATAGAAAATAATCAATTTCTTCTTAATGAAAATGAAGTAAACGCTGATGAAAAATTAGCAAGTGAAAAAGAAGAAATTTCAAATAAAGAATTACTTCTTCATAATCAACGATTAGGAGCGTTTTATAAAAAAATGATAAATCAAAGTCAAAAAGAAAAAAGAGAGATTGATAAAATATTTATTCAAAAAGAAATAGTAAATGAAAAATTTATTCAAGAAATGTTTGAATTTAGAATTCAAAATTTTTTAGATATTTATCTTCATGAATCAAGTCAAAGTACAATGGAATATTTATTTAAATTATATGATGCAGTTGATCAAACAATTACATTATTAAGTAAAAGTATTGTAGGATCTAAAATTGTTTCAATGAAATTTATGAATGAAATGATAGAAGATTGTTTTAAACAAGACATTGATGAATATTATCAAATTAATGAAAAAGATTATATTAACGAATTATTTAATACAAATAAATCAAATTATATTAAACTTAAAAAAGAACTTAAAATCGATTCTCCTTCTAAAACTAAAATTGATGAATTGAATAAACTTATTGATATTTCTACTATCCAATTCATTTTACAACAATTCTCTTTTGCAATTAGTAGATCAAAGGTATTATGTCCAATTCAAGATTTAGTATCATTTATATATTCTTTATTTGAAAGTTTAATAAATTGGATTGATTCAGTATTAAATGATAGTGTTAAAAAAATGATATATTTAACTCAAAAATATTCAACTGACCCATTAAAATCTGTTAATTTCTTTAAAGGATATTTAGAAGTTATTAAACAAAATTGTGATGCAATGAATTTAATTAAAAATATATTAGAAAAAGAAATATTACCTAACTTTAAATTTTCATATCAAAAATATAATGAATGTATTAATAAGTTTAATGCAAAATGTAAAGAAATGGAACAAAATATTACTGAGTCATTAGAAAATAGTAATGATTGGATTATTAAAGTTATAGAAAAAAAATTAAAGTATAAAGGAGAATTTATTTTTAAAGATGAAAATGATATGACATGGACACATTCTCCTGCTTGCACTCTTGTTTGTAAAGAATTTTGCGATTATCTTAAAGAATATCTTAATTCTATTGATCAATATATTACAGGAAAAAATCATAAAAACTTTATGGTTTCATTCGGAAGAAATTTATATAATACTCTTATTGAAACATTTAAAAAATTAAAAATTACTCCATTTAGTGGCGGATTTATATTTATGTATGATATCAGATATATTACTGATCTCATTAGATCATCTTCTTTCCCTTTATCTATTAAATCTATGTTTGAAAATTTAACTATGTTATTCAAAATTTATTGTATTGATAAAACTAATATTATTTCTATTACTAATACAATTATTGAAGATGGTGGATTTGAATTTATTGATCCAAATGAAATGTTAAAATGTCGTACCGATTATTCTAAAGAAATGATAGTTGATTACGCTCAAGAAGTAAAAAGTTAATTTACTCTTTTTAAACCAACTTCTTTCTTATCAATTAATTTAAACGGTTAAATACCACTTTCTCATTATTCTTTGTATTTTTAGAATGATAACTAGACAAGATTTTTTTGTCAATAAGATGATTAGTTTCTGGAAAAGACTATGATTTTAAATACTTTTTTCTTCAAGAACATTTTCTAAGAATGAAAAAAAATGAAAAGCGAAAAGTAAAAGAAAAAAATACACCTCTCAAAAATAAATCTGATTGTTCACAGATGTCCTTGTTCAGAAACAAATATCCCAAAGAAGATTTTGAAAATATGGTTATCTCTGAACCAACTGATTTTAGACAAATTAATCATGCCACTATAGAGTCAAATGGACAGGTTAACATAAACTCTATCCCATCAGAATGGAAATTGAATTTACGAAAAGCAGGTATTCATAAGAAAGATTTGAAAGATGAAAAAACACGTACAGAAATTTTCTCATTGCTTTCTAAAAATGATAAACGAGCACCTTCTTCTACCCATGGAACATTACCACCACCTCCTCCTGGAAGAAAACCACCAACAAGTTCATCTGGTAAACAAGTTCCTTCTCATAAACCACCTGCACCTCCAAATAAAAAATTACCAACACCACCTCAAGGAAAAGGAAAACCTATACCACCACCAAGGCCTGGTAACAGAGACGCACTTTCTCATCATCATTCAGATGTGCCACTTCCTCCCTCACCACATGGGGAAGCACCACCACCTGTTCCTCCACCAAGAGGAGGTGCACCTGCATTGCCACCACCTAGAAGAGGAACAAAGAATGTACCACCTCCACCACCACTTGACCCAAATGCTGTTACTCCTACATCAACAACTCTAAGTGGTCCTTCTCTTGCAGAACAATTACAAGCAAAAAAGAATGACCTTAACTCTGTTCCAGTAGAAGACAATACCCTAGCTCAACAAGAAGATGATATTGTTGGTGCTTTAAGAGGAATTATGATCAAAAGAAGAGAAGACATGAATATGGTTGATAATGAAGAAGAAGAAGAGGACGAGGAAGATGATTGGAGTGACTAAAAAAAACAGATGCATTCTGTTTAGTTGTTGTTATCAAATCTTATTCAGTTTATTAGTTATCGTTTTATGGTTTAATATTTCAATTTATTATTTAGATAAAAATAATGTGAAAAGGATATTGAAGTAATTCATTATAATTTAAAATTTTTAGGTATAACCTGAAATAAAAACTTATTTATGGTATTGACTCAAATAAATTTGATTATTTATTTTAAAGAAGTTATCAGTTAGTTGGATTTAAAATAGTCAATAAAACAATTATTATTATTATAAATTTTATTCTGTTAAAGATAGTGATATAATACATCATAATAATTATTTTAAGAAAATGAAAGTAATATTATTACAAATTAAAATGATTATTATTCTTTAATGTATTCATATATTAATTTTAATATTTAATCTCTTTGTAACGACATATAACTAGTCTTTTTGATTTAAGGGATATTATTTCTAGTTAAATTAGAATAAAAGATCTTAAAATTCTATAATAAATAAAGAAATATCATTTAGATTAATTCAAAAAATAAAAATAAAGAATAAATATAGTTAATTAATTAATTCTTTTAAAGTAAAATAAAACAATATAAAAACAAAAAACTAAAAACAATAAAAAAAATAGTATTCAATGACAACTTTTGATAAACTGGAAATTGCAGGGATTAGAAGTATTAACCCAGACAAACCAGTTGAAATAGAATTTTTTAAACCATTAACATTAATAACTGGTCCAAATGGAGCAGGGAAAACAACTATTATAGAATCAGTAAGATATGCATGTACAGGAACTTCTCCACCAAATTCAAATGGAGGAAGATTATTTGTTAGAGACCCAACAATGTCAGCAACAAAAAAGACAGACGCATATATCAATCTTTCATTAGATACTTCAAAAGGAAAATTAATAATCTCAAGAAAATTAGGAGTTTCTATAAACCTTGGAAAACCAAAATTTTCAGCAAAAGAAGCCAAATTAGAATTAGATGGGCAGAGACATGAAATAAATGATGGAACTCTAACTAGTACAATAGAAACATCAGAAGTAATGTTAGATTCAGTGTTATTTTGTCATCAAGAAGATTCATTTGGCCATTGAAGAAC